GGGTGTCGATGACCACGACCTGCCGCCCTAAAACCGTCCCACTCTCTCGCTGGCACCTCACAGTCTCATGCTGAGGGTCGAACCCGAAGTCAAACACAGCTTTGCCCAGGATGGTGTTCCCGGTAGCACTTTTTCCTGCGTGCCGTTTCCCCAACAATAGGAGCCGCAGGTTGGGTGCGGAGCGGCCCTGCTCCAGGGACGGGCTCTCCTGAGAGCGGCTCCTGCGGGCTCTGTGGGAGGAGAAGCAAACCTCAGGGATCCACTCACGCACGGGGCGGGTGCAGAGCAGAGAGAAAGTTCACTCCCTTCTCCCGGGAAGAATCTGACCTCCTGAAGTCCTAACCCACACTGCACTGTCTCCCAGCGCCTCCCTGCACTTTGTCCCTAAACAAACCCTCTTATTCTTTCAAGCTTCCTCACCATTCAGAACCACGGAGAGTCAGATAGGTCAGAAATCATAGTAGTCAGGCAACTTTCAAGTTCAAGGGACTCTCATAACTAACAGTAATGATCAGATGTTACAAAAAATACAGATTAGGCTGGATCCAGTGGCAGGCAGCTATAGTCCCTACTATGCAGGAGGATGAGGCAGGAGGATCCCCGGAGCCCAGCCTGAGCAACACAGCAGGTGTGAACACTTCTGAAAACGATATAGAATTTTTAAAATAATACAGGGTTATCTAGATTGAAAAATCAGAATCTCAGAGGAAGAGGCTGGAAATCTGTATTCGTCAAATGCTAAGTGATGATGATTAGCCAAGTTTGGGAGGCACTGTGGTAAGATGAGCACATTAGCAAGTGTAATGTGGGCTGTACATGAGATGCTAATAATGCATTGCAAGAGACAGACGAGGAAGCGTCACTTGTGGGCGTCATGCATATCACTGCCAGGGGAAGCTGATAGAGGAGCTGGGGGAGCCACAGGCTTAGAGTCGGCCTGGTTCCCCCTGCTCTGCTGCTCTCTAGCTGAGATCTCTGGGGGCTGCTAAACCATCCCAGCCTCAGTGTCCTCATGCATAAGACGAAAGTAGCACCGCCTACTTTAAGAAATTTTTTTTTTTTTTCAGCACAGGGGATTGAACTCAGGGAGCTCTGAGCTACATTCCTGGTCATGTTTGTTCACTTTTGATTTTATGTTTTATTTTGTTCTGGGGTATGTGAGTGTGTATGTGACAGGATCTTGCTAAATTGGCCAGGTTAGCCTCAGATTTTCAACCCTCCTGTCTCAGCCTCCAGATTTGCTGGGATTAGAGGTATGTGGCACCACGCACAGATCATTCAGTCTTCTAAAAGTACCATTGAAAGCTGGGTGTGGCGGCATACACTTGTAATCCCAGCTACTTGGGGAGCTGAGGCAAGAGGATCACAAGTTCAAGGCCAGTCTAGGGAACTTAGGGAGATCCTATCTCAACATAAATTTTTTAAGAGAAAAATGGAAATGTAGCTCAGTGGTAGAGCACTTGCTCAGCATACTTGATGTCCTGGATCCACCCTCAGTACAAAAAAAAAGTCTCAAATAAGATGATATATAAGAAAATGACTTGTCCAACACATATATGAAAAAATCCTCAACATCACAAGTGGTCAGGTAATGTAAATCAAAAGCACAGTAAGATATCACCACACTCCAGCAATAACAGCTAATATCAAAAAGATAATAAAGGATAATAAGTATTGGCAAGGATGGAAAGGAAAGGGAAATTGCATATTATCGGTGGAAATGTAAAATAACACAGTCATTATGGAAAACAGCATAGAGTTCCCCAGTCAGATAAAAATGGAACTATCATATGATCCAGCATCCCACTCTGGTGATACGCCCAAAGGAAATAAAATCAGCATGTCAACGAGACATTGGCAAGCCCATGGTTATTATAGCACCATTTGACAGTAGCCAAGAAATGCATCCTCAGTGTCCATCAACTAATGAATAGATTTTTTTAAAGGTAGTGCATATACACAATGGACTACTTACTACTCAGACATAAAAAGGATGAGATCCTGGCATTCGTGACGTAGGTGGGACATTGTGTAAGTAAAATCAGCCATGCACCAAAAGACACAGATGGCAGGATCTCACTCTGACATGGGTTAGAAGAGATGATCCCACTGGAGCAGAGAGCAGAATGGGAAGAGCAGGAGTGGCTGAGGATGGGGAAAGTTTCAACTGCAGTAAGGAGTTCTGCACTGTCCTATGGACAGGGAGCATGCACTGCTGTGTGTTGTCAATGTCAAAGGGCTACAGCAAAGGATTCTGAACGTTTTTATCATAAAGAAATGATACATACTTGAGGAAAGAGTTACGTTTAACCTGACTGAAACATGACACAATCTCTACGTGTTATCAAACCATCACATGGTACCCTGTTAATAGATACGATTTTGCGTATAATTTCATTTAATTTTTTAAATTACCTTATGAGTTCCATGTCTCCTCATCAGCATTACTTCCAGGGACCCCCTAGCCAAGGTTCCGCTCCTGTATCCAGGGCCTCGTGCTGTGCTGGCCCAGATGTGTTAGCTCCAGGGAGAGAAACGCTTCTGCAGGAGAGAGCAACGAGCCAGAAGTCAAGGCACTGGACAGTAATCCTCTTCTTAGGACGTGGCCCAAGAGGGCCGAGAGTCAAGGCATCTGACAAAAGCTTCCTGTGACACAGGGTTTGCCCCACACCTAAGGACAGTCCCAACCCACTGAGAAAGGGGTCAGAGGGGCTTCCAGAGCCCAGCACAGGGAGGACCTCCGTCCAGCCCAGCAAATAGTCATCAAGGGGAAGCGGAGGGCGAAAGGTGGACTTCAGTCCGGGTGAAATCAGAATATGATTTCAGGAGAGGTACTTACGACCCTCAGTGCCTAGCTGCGAAGGGCTGGGTTAGAAGACCGGACATGGAAAATCAGAGTCCCTGTCCCCTGCTTCTCAGCAAGGCCAGCAGTCCCCATATTGCCCACTGACGTCTTCCTAGGGACCGCTCTGTGGCACTGTCTCAAAGCTAGAAGCTCCGAAGGAGACTCCTTCCTGCCTTCTTGTTCCTCCGCTTGCACTATGCCCTCCTCGCGGCCCTCCTCCTCCTCGGGCGGAGCACCCTGTCCCGTCGCTCCTAGTCCAAGGAAAGCTGCCCCACGTGGCTTCCCCAGTGACTGTGCCCTGAGCCCCTCCAGTCCGTGTGCCCTCGGGGCTTGGGGTGACACGGTGAACTGGAAGGGTCCCTCCAAGAGCCCTGAAATCCAACCTGGCTTCCATGGATCAAGCCTTCATCACCCCTACACACGTGTGCTAGCACAGCACATCCACCCTGCACACACACACACACACGCATGCACACACACACACACACACACACACAAACACACACACACCGCACAGGTACCTCGGGCTGTCCCCTGGCCTTCCACTGTCTCAGGACCTTCACACTTGGCCTCGTGCCATCCCTCCAGCCCCCATGGGGTGGAAGCAGCTGCTGGGTCCCCTCAGGCCAGTGGCAGCGACTCTTAAGGAGAGCCTGGAGTTTCAGGGTGAGGACGGCAGGGACTGACCACCCTTCGAGGGCCCGAGCCCTGGTAGGAGGGTGTCTGACAGTCTGGCAAGGAAGAGGCTGCCACACACAGGTTTCACGACAACAGAGGCGTGGTGCAGCCACACAGGAAGTGCCGGTGCCAGGCTCAGGGTAGGCACAGGCAGGAGCGGGTGGGACTAGGGAGGGGACAGGCCACGTCCCCTTCCCCAGGCAGCTCTGCCCGTTGGGGTCACCGCACAGCAAAAGGGGTGAGAGCACAGCCACTCGCAGCAGGCCTTGTTCCGGGTCCCCACAACCTCCCCTCTCGCTGGCCCCTCCAAGATCCAGGTAAAAATACAAAGACATGGTTTGTTTCCTCCCCCAAACCCCCTCCTAATTTGACCCTGAAGCAGTCTTTACAGCTTCCTGTAACGGGTCTCCCCTTTCTACAAGGGGGTCCCTAAAACCCGCAGCCTGAGGCCAGAGCCCACCAGTCAGAGGGGGGCAGGGTGGGGGGACTGACAGCTTCTCCCCAAGCAGCAGAATTCGGGAGGGCAGAACCTGCTGTCTGTGAGAGAGACCGTTGTGCCCCAGGGGCCCAGTCTGAACTTCCCAGGAAATTCAGCACTTTACTACAGAAAAACCGTAGCGTACATTTTTCCTTCCCCATCCGAATCATCTGTGAGTGTACAGTGCTGGTGCGAAATGCACGGCAGCGCTCCGGACTCCCCGAGCTGTTCCACCCTGTGACACAGAGGGAACGCTTCGCCCCTGGACCACGGCCTGCCCCCGCTTTCTGTCTGTGGGATTCTGGTGACTTCTGACCCTTCCGGCAAACCAAGCTTCACTGCCCTGGTGGGAAGAGTTTGCTCCAGGACTCCTTCCCAGGGGTCCTTCCCAGGGGTCCCCGCACACAGCACAGAAGCCCATGAAGTTGAGCTCACACTGGCTTTTTCAGTGTCAGAGGTGGTGCTGGGCCCACCCAACTGCTAAGGTATGGGGTAGGCTGTCCCATCCCCGGGCTGGCTTCCATGCCCGCCTTGAGGACGCCTTTTCCAGGATACCAACCTAGAGCAAAGCCTGGTTGGGCTGGGATGTCCCAGCAGGGGGACACGGAAGCCACACGTGGATGGGAAAACTGAGAAAATCTCTCCGCCTCCTCCTCCCCCTCGAGGAAGAAGGCCCCAGAGTGGAACAAACCCCCTTCCCGGGCACGAAGGCAATGCACAGAACACGAACTCATTGAAGCCAAAATCTTAGACCAGCCCAGTACGGTTTATACAGAGGTAGAGCTGGGTCCAGAGACGCAGGTCAAACCCTAGCGAGATGCCGCTCGCCCAGCGCAGACAGGACAGTGACCAGGAGAAGAAACACACTCATAAATGAAGTGTTAAGCATCTGAGGAGACGTCAGGATAAAACCAAACTTCGGGTAACGGCTCAGTGATTTAACAGGGTGATTATTTGCTGAGTTGACTTTTTTTTTTTTTTTTGGTGTTTTTGAGGCAGGGTCTCTCTACGCAGGTCAGGTTGGCCTCGAGCTCACTTTGTAGCTCAGGCTGGTCTCGAACTCATGACAATCCTCCCGTCTCAGCCTCCCGAGTGCTGGGATTACAGGCGTGCGCCACCACGCCCGGCTTGAGTTGACTATTTTGCAAAATGATCTTTCGCAGTGGTTTCACCAGTCTGCATTCCCACCAGCAGGGTTCCTATTTCTCCACAGTCTCACCAGCATTTGGTATTGGTTGATTTCTTAATGCTAGCCATTCTTACTGGGGTAAGGTGGAATCTTAGTGTTGTTTTAATTTGCATTTCTTGAATGACTAATGATGTTGAACATTTTCCCATATATTTATTTGCCATTTGTATCTCCTTGTCTGAGAAGTGTGTATTCATCTCAGCTGCCTATTTTTGGATTGAGTCTTTGAATTTGGAGGTGCTGATATTTTTAAATTTTTTATATGTTCTAGATAGAAGCCCTTTGTCCAAGGGACAATCAGCTAAAATTTTTTCCCAATTTGTGGGTTTTCTTTTTACTTTGCTGGTGATTTCTTTAGATGTGCAGAAACTTTTCAGTAGGATGAGATCCCAGTTGTTGATTCTTTCAAGTGTTTCACGTGCAATTTGGTTTTTGTTCATGAACTCTCTGCCTACCCCTATGTCTTCAAGGTTTTTACCTACCTTCTCTTCCAATAGATTTAGTGTTTCTGGTTTAATATTGAGATCTGTGAACCACTTTGACTTGAGTTTGGTGCATGGTGATAGGCTTGGGTCTATTTTCAGTCTTTGGCAGGTAGCAAGCCAATGTTTCCAGCACCATTTATTAAAGAGGCTATCGTTCTTCCAGTGAGTCTGATTGGCCCCTTTATCAAAGATTAGGTGGCTGAGTGTGTTTTTGGTTGTGGCTGTTTCTTCCAGTCTGTTCCATTGATCCTCAGGCCTGTTTTTTAGCCAGTACCAGGTTGATTTTATGACCGTAGCTTTATAGTATAATTTCAGGTCAGGGATTGTGATTCCTCCTGACTTGTCCTTGTTGCCCAGGATTGCTTTTGCTATTCTGGGTCTCTTCTGGTTCCAGATGAATTTAAGGCATATTTTCTCAAGATCTGTGAGGTATGCTAATGGTAGTTTAATGGGAATTGCATTGAATCAGTTTGGAGATTCCTCAGAAAACTAGGTCTAGAGGCCCCATTCAACCCAGCTATCCCCCTGCTGGGTATTTTCCCAGAAGATCTAAAATCATCATATCACAGTGATGTATGTGCACCTATGTTCATAGCAGTACAATCTGTAATTGCTAAAATGTGGAAGCAACCCAGATGTCCATCCACTGAGGATTGGATAAGAAAATTGTGGTACTTTTATATAATGGAATATTACTCAGCTATAAAGAAAGATAAACTCGAGGCTTTTATAGGTAAATGGTTACAACTAGAGACCATACTCATAAGTGAAATAAAGCAAACATACATGTGCAAGCACCACATTGTTTCACTGGTGTAAAACCTGAAAGAGTTAATTTAAACCAGGAGATATGATAGACATTGTGAATTGATAGGAAAGCACTCAAAGGTAAAGGGCAACTGGGATGTGGGAAAAGAGAAGGGAAAGAAGGAGAAATTTTATATGTATGTATATGCAGGATAGTCAACATGGCTGTTCTACTGTCTTGTATTTCTTTGCTGAAAGAAACTGACAGTGAGTCCTTGGTTGATTAGCATTGCATGTCTATATCTGTTTTCATGAGAAACCACTTTGAAGATATCAACATGTAATACAACAAGCATTGTTAATTCCCTACCACTTTGTTTGTAACTCCGTACTGTCTGTACTGTTCCTTTGCTATTTTGTAAAATGTTGTCTGTCTGTTAATATTTTCCTCCTTTTATTTTTAAAATTAAAAAAAAAAAATGATCTTTTGGCAAATTAGCTCTCCGAGAATTGATTTCTTTCTGCGGAAGGCAGGCTGCCTGGAGTTGCAGGCGGCAGTGCGGAAGGGTGGGGCTCCGCTGCCCCCTAGCGGCTGCTTGCGTAACGACAGGAGCCAAGCGCTCAGGCTTCGCAGGCTCAGCAGCTCCTGGCCCGCCGCCCGCCAGGCTCTCCGCAAGGGTTAGGGGAGAGGGACAGGGACGAAGGAGGGACGCAGACAAGGAGGGGTCCACCTGGACCAGGCACTGAGGCATCGAGGCATGAAGATTGGCGAGACGCCTCCTCACTCAGGGAGGTCGCAGCCCTGGTGTGGGGGACACCCCAAACCTGCCCTGTCACGAGATGGGCTCAGAGCGCCCCGGGAGCAAGAGAAAAGGCTGTGGACCCTTCTGTCAGGTAGGTAGTTGGACATTAGTGGGCCTCAGAGACGAATGGGGGTCCCTAAAATACCATGCACTGCCAGTTGGGCAAAGAAACGAAGGCGCCAGTGTAGAACACACTTGCAATCACTTCCCGGGTCTCAGGCCCAGAGCGATCCCTCAGCACACAGTGACATCTTAAGGTGCGCATCCTGCTGATCTCTGGGCCCCGCGGTCCAACCCCAGAACAAGGCACGCAGCGTTCCTGGCTGCCTCGGCCTCCAGCCCAATGGCATCGGGAGAGGAAATGTTCTTTAGGCAACCCGCTGCCTTAGGTCCGGACCCGGTTTAAATTAGGACTTTATCTTTTGTGAGTTCCTGGAGTGCTTAAAGCTCCTGAGGAAACGCTGAACATCTAAAAAGGTCAGAAAGACGTTTCGTGATTTCAAAGTAACTGCTAAGTACAAGGCTGAAAAGCATCGCAGAAGCCCCAATTCCCCAGGCCCCAAGAGTAACTCCTGCATGCATAAAACCGCCTCCAAAGTCATACTCGGGGGCAAATGCCTTCGTGGCACTGCCCACCCTCCTGCTTGAAGGATAATTCTCTATAGGTCTGCTTAACAGTAAATTCTACCTGTCCTTCCATACGTGCGGCAAGGGCAAAACGAACCATGGACCAAGGGCTTGAGATAAACCCTGAACCTCGCGTTTACTGCAGCAAGTACTGCAACGCACAGGGTGAAAAGGGCCCAGGGGAGGGGAAGTCCGTGCAGGGCAGGCAACGCCTCACCTCTGGCTCGAAGACCTGAGGAAACTTGCCTGTCAGGGGCGGGAGTGAGAAGTTTCAGGCCGAGGCCGAGCAGCAGGTGCTATCCAGGGTGCTGGGAACAGCCGCCACGTGCCGGGAAATGGGCCCAGCAGGAGAACCCGCTGGAGGTGCTGCAGTTGTCCAAGCTAGAAAAGAGGAACCCCTGAACTACGACAGTGACGGGGATGCAGGCAGGAAAAGGGGGAGATCGGCAATGTATTTAGGAAACAGATAGTAAAGGAATTTCAAAGGAAGATGAACTCAGGGCCGCTGCTCCCCGCTGGCCAGATTGAAGAGAATGCTCTTCAGTGTGGACAGCTTTCTTCTTTTGGAAAATATTATCACACGTTGTTTCCCTTCAGAGATGGAAAATGTGTGTGTTTACCACAGTTTGGGCAGATGGCAGGAAAGTGTCTGGTAACTAAATTTGTATATTTTGACAACTTTCTGATGGAATCATGTGTCTTATCCAAACACAGTCCGTGTTTATTATAATGTTATTAATTATGAAATTGCCCTGGGGCTGGGGATTTAGTTCGGCGGCACAGCGCCTGC